CTGGAGAAAAGAAGGCTGTGGGGTGACCTCACTGCAGCCTTTCAGTACCTAAAGGGAGCCTACAAACAGGAGGGGAATCAACTCTTTGAAAGGGTTGATAACTGCAGGACGAGGGGAAATGGTTTTAAGTTGGAGGGAAGATTTAGTTTGGATGTCAGGGGAAAGTTCTTTACGATGTGAGTGGTGAGGTGCTGGAACAGGCTGCCCAGAGAGGTTGTGGATGCCCCGTCCCTGGAGGTGTTCAAGGCTAGACTGGATGAGGCCCTGGGCAGCCTGATCTAGTAATAAATGGGGAGGTTGGTGGCCCTGCATGTGGCAGGGGGGTTGGAGATTCATGATCCTTGAGGTCCCTTCCAACCCTGGCCATTCTGTGATTCTGTGACATTACATAGGTGCAACTCTTAATTCTTTAGGATGGTTGTTTTGTGGGATGCTTTCTTGGCTAGCAGTACATCTGTAACAATATGCTGAAGAATTAATTTAAATAAATGAGCTCAAATGTTATGACCACATCGTGAACTCGTGAAGGTGTGGGCTTTCAGAGGGGCTGCAGAAGGGGGACCAGGAAGGAAAGAACAAAATAGTAAGAAGCAGCTAAGGAAAGACAGCAGGACGCAAATATGGAAATAATATTCATAGCAAATATATTGTTTTTTTTTAACAAGTGCATGCAATGTCTTGGCTGACAGGAGCAAGCCCACTTAAAAGTACTGTGTCAGGCTGTCAGATCCAGCAACGGGCTTTCAGTCTGTGCACACAGCTTACCTTTCAGACTTTTTTCCTGGTTCTAAGGGCAAAACATAGTACAGACTTTAATACGGATGTGCAAGATAATGACAGCCAATTTTGTTGCTTGGAAGGCAGTAAATAAATGAATTAGGTAACACAAAAACCTGAAAATATTTCAAAAACAAACAGAAACTCAGGTATTGTGAATTTGTTTATACAAAAATGATACATATACACAGGAATATTTACAACAACTTTGAGCTGTTTTCATTTACAAAATAAAGATTCTATTCTTTCATTTAGACAGCACAGTTTATGACTACTCCAAATAAAAATGTATGTAGATGGTACATACAAGGGATGGCAGTTATGGCAAACAAATGCATTGAATGTGTCTTTCCAAACATCTCTTTCTATTATGATGTAACATACGTAATTTGGTAATCAATTTTCACACACACAAATTATCTAGTAAAATGTGTTCCATGGTTGCTCAGCTATCCATTTGTTTCAAGTCCTTGAGGGATAAAAGAAAGCTTTAAGTCAAAGATCTCTTAAAGACAATTCATTATCATAGACCTTTCATTTACCCAAGAATAAAGATCCTAGAACTAATCTCCAATGCTAATGTTTGTCTCATTCTCTACTAACCAGTCTTAAATTATTAACTATAGATGTGTATAAGAAGAGGTAGCCAGGTGTTTAAAAACTGCTGGTCTTGTTCAGTGAATTTGCTGATGTAAGAGTGGAATCTAGAAGTGACATTACTTCTGATGGCAGTGAATCAGGATGAGAGGCAGGGTGGAGAAACAGACTAACAGTTTGAAAAGCAACCGTCTGAGAATGTTATGAAAAACCTATGTTGTGGGCTCTCCACATGATACAAAGCAGTAATGCTGGAGAAAGTGGAAAAAGAAATATTCAAACATGCTCATAAAGACAATTTCATTTATTTCACACATAGTTAGACCGCAATATGTGCACTGTGGTTTTTAAGGCTCTGTTCAAATCTGTTTCTGTCACAGACAATTTGTTGACTGATCAACTGTTTCTGGAAGAAGTCCTCTGACTTCTAAGGAACTGCTGAACTATTTTCTCACTGCACCTAAGTCATTGAGAGGTAGTTTGTTGCCACGAGGCAGTACTCAGGCACCCTACTCAGCCTGTGTTATGACTTTTATTGCTCTATTTCAATTTTGTAGCAAGGAAATCGGAACATAAATTAAAACTAAATAAAAGTTGCTTCTAGCCAAATTCCTTATTGTTTGCCATTTTATGGCTTTCCAATCTAGTTGGTGTGCAGTCCATAAAAAAAAAAATATTAAGCAGCTCTTCCCCTGGATAACATCAATCAGAACAGCTACATCACATCTGTGTTACACTGGTATCAGATTTATTTCGGGTACGGTAAAACCCATGTCAGA